TTTCTTTCTCAACACTTCTACATATTCTTCAGTCGAGTCACAACACTTCAGGGAAATGCATCCATTACCAGCATCCATGTCGTTCTATAGTCTGTGGCCTACCTAAACCATTTGGGGGGGAAAACATCCTGAAACTGCAAATAAAGTCCACATGCGTAGCAGCTGCTCTCCTTCCTGCCAGATCCAAATAAAACTCTTTCTCATTCTCCTGATCAGCAGTATAAGGAGGAAACCCAGGGAATGTTTTCCAACAAGCAGTCCATCTTTCTAACTTTCGGATATCAGCTCTGGATGGCTTCTACTGCCATTCTATGGCACTACTACTACAGTACAATGAGGCCCTTTAAACTAGATGCATCCCAGTTAACACCTGGGCTCTAGTTTTGCTTCTTGTTCAGTGCTGTAAAAGTCAATACTGCAATTTGAAGAATCCTTTCTTAGAAAGGAGGGTGCACTGTTAACACAGTATGTGTGTGGCTCAAAGCATCTCTGTGTTTTTGAGGTGGCTTGTAAAAAAGGGTAAATTCCAGGGGGCAGCTGGTGCCGGCTGTTAGCATTTCATTTGCCTGTGAAGGAGCAAGGCAAAAGACACGGCCAAACTCTCTCTGCTCTCAGCCCAGGCACGTCTCTCTAAATACACTGGCCACGGCCAGTATTCCCACTCATCCAGTGCTGCAGCTGCTCTTGAAAGAAGTAGTAATTATGCATTGTCAGAGTCCAAACACTGGCAGTGTGGCTGCATTGGGAGGTGCGCCACTGGCCGTGACTGTGCATTTGAGTGGCCAGGAAGATCAGATCCCATTAGTGCCGAGCCAGGAGCCTTGTGATGTGGTGGCATCAGGCGGGGCAGTTTGTGGAATGGCCAACAGCGCAACTGCTGCAGGCTTTGCTTGCAAGAATGTCAAGTAAAAACTGGTTTCATCAGGCTGTGCGGTTTGTTCCCCACCCTGTTGAAGTGCGGTGATCTTCCCGCTAAAAATAATATAGTGGCTGGAAGGTCAGGCGGGCAGGCAGGAAGCATGTTCCTTAAAATGTCATTCAGCCTGTATTTTCATATTAAATATGAGTTAATTATTAATTGCTTTTCATGTGGCGTAAAGATTTAGATTGAGTGTATGTTTTTCTAATCACCTAGTCTGAAAGCGATGAAACCAGCCCAACACAAATTCAACTCAAGCCAGTGAACTTCAGGTTGCTGTTTCACGGAAAACATCAAACTGACAGAGAGCTGTAAGAAAATGCTACCGCGGTGCTGTTTTGGGTCATCTTAGATCTTTTGTCTCCTCTTCCAGGCGTTGGAGGAGGCCCAGAAAGCCATCCAGCAACTCTTTGGCAAAATCAAAGACATCAAAGACAAAGCAGAGAAATCGGAGCAAATGGTGAGTAAAAATAAGCCCTCCAGACAGGATCCTAGTCATTTAAGGCCTAAGAAGTCAACCCAGAGTAAATAGCCATTCACCACCCACCCACCCCAACAGACTGGGTAACCGAGGCACAAGAAACTGTGACATCCTGTGGTTTTTGTCCACAGCACTCTTTTTGAGCCCAAGGTAACACTGGCCATCTGTGAAAGTAATGCAGTGCAGATAAGAGGAAGGGCAA